ACCCGCCCCGTGTACGTGCACAATTTTAGAGAAGTCGGGGGGGGGGGATCATGAAAAGGACTCAGGATGATAAATTTGGGGGTCAAGGGTCAAAGGTCAAGATGTGTAAACGGAGGGAATATTTCCCCCTTAACTTTAATTATAGGAGGAAATACGGAATTGCGGCACAAATCTTAACGGCTTGACCAATGCTCTTAACATTCGGTGTATAGTGTGATGGGCAGGAAACCCATCCCCAGTGCGAAATTGGAGGTCACAGGTCAAAGGGCAGTGGGGGAAAGGTCAGATATCAGACATTTTCTGAGGACATGGCCTAATGGACAGTGAAAAACTTTTTTGTTTCAGTGCTGACCTACCATTTTTATCACTTTATTGAAAGGACCATGAAATGTGCTTTCCACTGACGTGCGACGAGTAAATGTCTGATAACCTTTTGACCCTCAAGAGGAGGGTTAAACATGGATTCCTGAACTGCCTCAATGACGTCAAAGTGTTGTCATATTCATGGCACATCCATAATCTGGAAACCCAATAAGCCTGGATAGCCGAACGCGTACGTACAGCACAGGCGTCACAGCTCAAAGGTCGTTGCATCGAATCTCATCTGATTATTTATTATTTACCTGTTTTCTGTATTTTTTTTATCTTTATCCATTTAACTATTTTGTTCTAATTAACGCAAATATTTACATGATTTATTTACAACAATTTAATAACAACAAATTTTTTTTACAAAAATAATATTTTTTTTTCTAATAGGGTTAGGGTTAGGGTTAGGGTCACCATAAAACAGGAGTTTCAGGCACGCGATTTGTATCAACCAATGGGATTTAGGAGGTATGCAGAATGCAGAAGGTTGCGGAAATGAGGTGTACGCAACTACGTATCTGCACATCTGCGCCTAACAAAGGTGTCACTACGCACGACTTAAATGTTATGTTTATAACCGTAGCAACAGACCTCAGATGAGCCCAGACGCCCTGCGGCTCTTGTTCATTAAAGTAACTTCCATCTTGCTAACGACAGAAGATGCTGAATGTGGGCATAGCTATGTGCGCACGAATTGAGAATTGATTTGGCACTTCTCCCAGGGGAAGAAATAAGGCAGGAGGGAAGAGATGGGAACACAAGGGACATGGGTAAGAAATACGAGAGAGGGTGGGAGAGTTTGAAGAGAAGATGGAGACGAGTGAGTGGTGTTTTTCGATAAGAAAAAGACGCCGAGACGCCGTGAATAAATTGACAGCCTATTCACTCGAAATATGCATGCGCAGAAAATAATCTTCATGAGTTGTTCTTTAGAGGTTTTGCTTGCCGTCTTTCGCCGAGATTTATGAGAGCTCGCTGCACGCACGTACATAGCGAAATGCTACTCAGGCGCGCGCAATTCTAAGACCGTCTGACAGTCTGACAGTCGGCCTGCAGAATTTGATAAACTTGATCAGTAAAACCATGGAAAATAATGTGATGGCTGCGTAGAGCGAGAGCGACAGCGAGAGATTTTGTTCCCGTCCAGTATAAATAGCAAGCACGTGTATATAATATAAACGCTTGTATCTCAATCTAAAGTTGGCAGACTGTTAATTCATTAATGGACGTTGTTTTTCGGACTCTTCGCACTCTGTTTTACTGCATTCTGTCTATATCTATATGCCGCGCACTGTCTCTGCCTCACCCTTCTGTCTCTATCGCTTGGACCTGGTTTTTAGGGCAACAGTGCCGAGAAAGAAGGAATCTGAAATTAAGAATGCGAGCGTTGTGTATACGTGTACGTGTGTTCTTGTGTGTGTGCGTGTGTGTGTGTGTGTGTGTGTGTGTGTGTGTGTGTGTGTGTGTGTGTTGTTGTGTGCGTGCGTGCGTGCGTGCGTGCGTGCGTGCGTGCGTGCGTGCGTGCGTGCGTGTCTGCACGCGTGTTGTTATTATTTAGCCATTTCTCGTATTTCATATTAAAGCCGGATGAACATTTAGTTATGATCAAGTGCTGGAAGCTAGAAGCGCGTTTTCTCCCTGGTTCGTCATACCGAAGTAATGTCGCTGTTAAGAAGACGCGTTCGCTATAGATTTTATGGCGCTTAGTATTTTTTTTACAAAAACTCATTTCTACTCGACCGTGAAACAGGGTAGCTTGTGGTGTAATCACTCAATAAAACGATGGTTTGCTTCTCTCTACATTTTTCTGCCTTTATGCGTCCGGCTGATATTCATAATTCCCGTCTGTAAGTGATATTTTTCCTCTACCGGCACATTATCGCGCTATTGCGGAATTTCATCTACTTCGTGGAGCGTGTCTGAACATAGCATGGCAGTTTATGACCCAATTTTTGTGATGCAGTTGTGAAGAGCAATGATATTTTATCTTCATTTAAAAATGTTAATACGTAGTACGTGTTTTGGTGATATTCAGTGTACATTTGCACCTCTAGAAATTTGAAGAGTATATTTAAAGGGGTTGGTGCGAATGACTCGGCTGGTGTGTCCTGTATGCGGTGTCAGTTTATGAAAGGCACTTGAAACACAACTGCACGCGTGACAGCAAAAATACGTCTACGTTTACGTCGAATGTCTGTGTGACGATACATTTGATTTGACAACATATTTTTTAGATAACATGTGTTAGGTGTAAACAGACTAGGTATGATATTTTGCTGTAAATGCTAATTACGTAACTCTTTTTTGGGGGAGCCGGACGGTGGGTGCATGCGAACTGTTAGCGTTGTGCTTGACCATTAGAAGGGTTTCAGTGAAAGTGTCTGGTTGTAGATAGCGGCGAGATAGCAATCCTAAGATTCTGAAGTACACCTCTATAATTGTGAATTATTCTATCTCTCTCTCCTCGTTTATATTGCACCCTTTTAGCAGAATTTCTCGACGTATATTCACATTCTCCGCCAGCTTTCTTCATATTATTAACGCAAAAAATGTTATCCATTATGAAAAATGATCAATTAGGTATACGGAAGGACGCTTTTTGCATGCAGGGAAGATTTTAATCATGTTATGTGAATAGAAGTGAGGCGAATGCACAAGTTTGATTTACTAAGGAGCTAATTCTGAGCCCCGCGAACTCGTTGTGATTGCAAGCTAATGCTCCTAAGATTTAATTACAATGTAAATTTCGTCGGGAAAGGGTTTGCCATCAGCAAGATCAGACTAATGTGTCACGAGTACGCGCTCGCGAATTTCGCTCTATCAGGAGATATTAACATATGAATAGGTACGCTGGACGATGTGGACGATCTGGACGATGGTGATACAGGCATGTTTGATATTTCTCTCGCTCCATACTTTAGCCAGCCCCAGCTGCTTACCGCATTTAGAAGCTCTTCGATGTGCACTGCTACCCCAGCTGTCTACAGTTTTCCGAGCTGAGAGCTAGCCCCACGCTGCACACACACACGCACGCACACACATATACGCACGCGCACATACACACTCTCGCTCGCCCCCTCTCTCACACACGCACGCACGCACGCACGCGCACACACCCTCCTTCGCTCTCCTTCTCCCTCCCCCCTCAGTCCCTCGCGCTTTATTCTCTCCCTTTGCGGTACCCTCCTTAGGTTGCGGTAATCCCAGTGAGATATCAGCATCTACTCCGTGGCGTTCTCTCTTGTTGGACCTGCCAGCGTAGCGTATTGGGAATTTCTCCATAGCTACTCCTGTGAGATTTCAGGATCTATTAAACTTTACCTGGAAAGAGTGAAAACGTGTTTTTTCAACTTCAGAACTACTTCAAGAAAATGCAGCTTGGCGTTTTCCGAGCAGATACCGATTGCATTAGCGTGTTTGTTAGTACTCGGCCAGGTAGCGAAATCGAATCAAGTCAATTTAATTATCTAAGAGCATCTAACAAACGGGTTAGATGAATAGCACATGTTAATAAAAATGGCACGGGCACCGCACACGTTATGCGTTGCGTGCACAACACGCATTATCTGTGCGCTGTACTATAACTATGATCGACGCAATTAAGAGCTGCCTTTGACCGCAGGACATCAAAGACGTCGTTGCTCGCTCGTCATATTGGAAGGGACAACGCGCAACAAAATTTAATCATTAATAAGTGGCTCGCTTGTTATCGTGTGGAATCTATTTTCGACTCGCAAATAGGCTTCATAATGCTGTATATATATATATATATATATATATATATATATATATATATATATATATATATATATATATTTTAGTGCTATGCAATGAAAATGCGTGTTGTGCAGTGCTAGTTCTGAGCGATAGTGACTTTTTTTTAGTGTGATGCGATATTTCCTACTAATAGTAATATATACTAATAGATTGTGTGATGTGATAACATCAAAAGTACAAATTGATGGTGTGACGTGATAACAGATGATGCAACAAATACTGAAAGTGATTACGTCACCGTAAATAGTAAGTTTTAACAAAATATTCCACAAAACTTTTCACAAAATGCAAGTAATTCTGTTCACTTTTTATGGTTAAATTGGCTGCATTATACTTCCTATTTTTCTATTCTGTTCAATGTGAACAAACACTTGTGACTTAATACATAGCCCATTGCAAGCATTTAATGTTGTGATCATTATATCAAATCGCTGAGGTTTTTGGGGTTTTACCTAGTTGAGAAACAATCGTATCAGGTATGAATTTGAGGATACATTTAGTCCCGTTAGTACTTACATTTAATGTAAAAAATTGCAACAAATTTTTTACAAATATACTCAATAGAAAAGTCGTGACGTAGTCAATTGAAATAGATGATGTTGCAGCAAAAATGATAATTGATGCTGTGATGTGATATGTTGAAGCACACTTTATGATAGACGATGCTATTACAAAGGCGATTGCATAAGATCCTATTACAAATAATAAGTCACGTGTGACTAATGCGGAGCCTATTTTGTGCTAATGGGCAGTGCGGTGTGGGTGTTTCAGGTCAGATCGACTTGCGTGAGGACAATGTGGAGAACCTGCTGTCCACAGCTTCCATCCTACAGCTATTAGAGGTCGTCGAAGCCTGCTGTGGCTTCCTCATGAAACAACTCCACCCATCTAACTGCATTGGCATCCGCTCGTTTGCGGACGTGCAAGGCTGCTGTGACCTTTTGAAGGTCGCACACAACTACGCCATGGTACGTGCTCAGCGAGTTCTTCTCAGTGTATAACTAATTAGCAGGCAAATCTATACATGCTAAAACAAGGGCTGTTGAGAATAAGTTGCTGATGTTGAGCCACGAGTCATCCTGCCGTGAGAGATGACGATAGTACATCAGTGCTGAGCTGTGTTACCTTAATGTGACAATTGTCATTAAATCTTGTTAGTTTTGCTATAGTACAGAATCACTCTTAATTGTCTTGATAAGACAAAGTAGATAAATTACCTGGTTAACTAGCTAACCGGTTTATATATGTTAGAGATTCCGACGGACTTTAATTCATCATGTTGTGGCTGTTCACATTCACCCTAAAACTTAAACAATATTATTCTGGTCATGTAGTTCATTGCTTTTCTAACGCGTTCTACTCATTAAAACTCAATTGTGAAAATTGTGAAAATATGAAAAAAGTAATCCTGCTTGGAAATTAAAACCAGTAGAAAAAAAATTAGTGTATATAAATCTCAGTAAAATTGTAATATTATTTATAAATTTATTTATTAGGCTAATGACTAATTTTATTATGCTAGTTTTTATTGTATAAGAAACCAATTTGAATAAATATAAATGATTTGTTTAAAATAACAATTTATTATAAGAAATTATTACTATTGGAAGATCATATGTAATTTTATTGGATTATGGTTATTATTTCATGGTAAACAAAATTGGTCATTGTCGAAAAAAAATCCACATTTTTTAATCAGAGATTTTGCATAATAAATGCTGGATCGATCGAATGTAAAATATATGCCACTAAGATATAGTGACATATATCTTTGTTCACATGTATGATGCAATGTCCACTCCAACTCATAGATAAAACTGACTGCTATTATAGCTTAACGTTTCCTGACCATTCGCATTAAGCAGGTTGGCTGTTAAGCCCGGCGCACACGTGAGTTATTTTACTCAAGTAAAATGACGCATGAGTCAAATTACTCAACGAAAATCCGCCGCACACGTGAGTAAAAGGACGCATGCGTCAAATTACTTAACGAAAATCCGCCGCACACGTGAGTAAAATGACTCATGCGACATTTTACTTGAGTAAAATAACTCACGTGTGCGCCGGGCTTTACATAGAATCATATTATGCATCTTCAGGATATGTATACGGATTTATCTTTAGGATCATTTCATGGAGATAATGCGAAACCAGGAATACCTGATTCTGCCAGTGGAAGAGGTGATACGACTGCTGTCCAATGACGATATCAATGTCCCCAACGAAGAAACCATTTACCAGGCCATGATGCTATGGGTGAAACATGACCTGCCCAACAGGCGACAGTACCTAGCCAAGCTCATGTCGCACATAAAATTGCCGTTGCTGTCTCCTGAGGTTTGTACGCATTCTTGTGGCTGTATTTCTCATTGAACATTATCACGTGTTCTTCTCGGAACATTGTCACGTATTCTTCACAGATATTCTTCACTGGTTCTCTGTTATTGTAGAGATACTTATGTTGCGAGTGTCAGCCAACGGGCTAACGCTCCATTAGGAGTGTTCCCAACATTGATATCATTAATGATTAATGATTAATGATTGATAATCTTAACCCTAACCCTAACCTAAGTGACATTAAACCACAAACTAATATATGACCATATATATATATATATATATATTATTATTATGACCATTAATGATATTAAAGTTGGGAACACTCCTAAGGAGTATCACCCAGCCAACGAGTGCAGGAGGAGGATTATAGGCTACGTGTAAATGAGTTGTTACTTTGTTTTTAACCAACTGACCCATCACAATACTGACTAAACTTATGATATTTCTATAACTGTAATATGAGCATGGGATTTCCAAATGTTTTTTGCCTGCTGATATTCCTATATCAGAACCCGGAGATATTCCTATATGCTCCTACAATGCAGGTTGAGTTACTGCTAACAATGAAATTAATCTGCATTGCAATCCCCGTGATTGCAACAGGAGTGGACAAAAACGAAGTTTGTGTTTAAACATTTTGTTTATTTGTCTTGAACAGAAATTTGTTTTTATTCACTCCTGATTATACATTAGTACCCAGTGCTAGGTTTTGAAATCTGTGGTATTGAACATTATGAATCTGTAGTGATAGTCTTTGTGTGGCATGCGATTAATGAATGAACTCATTGCGCATATTGGTTGCAGTTCATTGCTGACCGCGTCGAATCCAACCTGCTGTTCAAGGATGACCGTGAGTGCCAAGACCTGATCATGGAAGCCATGAAGTACCACCTCCTACCAGAACGCAGGTCCACCCTGCAGAGCCCCCGCACCCGCCCACGCAAGTCTACAGTGGGCTTCATCTATGCTGTAGGTGGTGTCGAATCGAACAAGGGTGAGCAATGAACAATCACAATATCTCGCCGTGTTTTGCGATCCTGCTATTAAAGCAAACTCCTATAGAGATGAGAGGTTGGCTAGAGAACTCCATTTTTTAGTTTGCAGAATACATGAGAGAGTACCATTTTAGGGCCAGCTTCAAGAATATTTTGCATAGCTTGGAATGCCCCATCCTCACAGCTAACAGCTAGCTGGCACTTTGAGCCCCCTACCTCCTCGCACTATTTACCGCTGAAACTGGGAATGTGTTTGTATGTGAGGTGGCATATATTGGAATTTAAATGTGAACCGAACTGCTCGCTTTCCTGGGGCGTCTGGCTAGGGATAGCCTTACGTTGATAATATGCTGACAGGGGGCATGTGACTGTCTTCTATCCATCCCGGAATTTCTACCCGTAGGTTGAGTCCGTATGGTTGGATGGTGTTTAGATTGTGAATCCAGTAAGCTTCTCTTTTCTTTCTGATGCGGATCGTATGCGCTTTTCAGGGGGGTCTGAAAGTATTTTCTCAATGCCCCTGCACTGGAAGTCTGCTGGGGTGTGGATGTCACGTAAAAAATGAGCACTGACAGGTTTGCACATGTCTCGTTTGGTAATATCACGGAGGTGTTCAACTATGTGATCTTTGAGTCTACATTGTCTCGCCTATGTATCTGGCCGTGGGGCATTTACGACAGGAGATTTCATAGATGAGGTTCGTCGAGTTGCATGTGAAGGAGAGCGTGATGGATTTCTTGAGGGGGGAGGGAAGGGTAAGACCGTGTGTGAGTTGACCGTGCTGCACGTGGAGCAGCGTGTGAGCCTGCAAGGGCGTGTACCTGGCGGGGTGGTGCGACCATGGGCGTGGGGAGGCAGAGGGCGAGTGTGCGGCATGGCTATTCTTGCGCGTATGAGCGCATCCTTCAGGTTCTTACCTCTGCTTAGGGCGAAGATGGGCGGATGGTCGTGGATGTGTCTCAGGGCAGGTGAGGCTGAGAGTACGTGCCAGTGTTTGAGGATGATCTGCGGGTTGCTGGGGTTGTATTCCATAATGAAGGGAATTCGTTGGTGTGTGTTTGCTGTCTTTGGTTTGGGTTCTATCAGGGTGTTCCGTGGGCATTGCACAGTTTTTGTATGGACCTGTCTAGCAGGTGTGCCTTATATCTCCGTTTGAGGAAGAGTTGCCTGAACTCCTGGCAGCGCGTATGGAAGCGCGTGTTGTTCGAGGACATCCTTTTTAGGCGGAGGAATTGCCCGTAGGGGATGTTGTCTATGAGAGCCTTGGGTGAGCTGAATCTGTCCTGAGGTATGGATGACCGTCTGTAGGTTTACAATACACGTCTGTGTGCAAGGACCCCTTGTCGATGCTTACTTGTACGTCTAAAAAGGAGAGACAGATCGTGCTGTGTGATTCGGTGAATTTGATTGTGGGGTGGAAGTCGTTTAGTTCTGTGACGAAGGAGTCCCAGGCGGCGGTGCCATGAGTCGAGATAACGAAGATATCGTCTATATACCTCTTCCAGACGAGCGGTTGGTGTTTTGTGGAGGCCAGAAACGTTCGTTCTAGATCATCCACGAAGAGGTTGGCATAAGACAGTGCCATCTTAGAGCCCGTTGCTGTACCTTGTATTTGTAAGTAGTCGTGGTTGTTAAACTGGAAGTTGTTCTTGGTCAGCGTCAGTTCTGCTAGGCGTGTTAGGAAGTGTGTGGAGGGTGTCTGCGGTGCCTGTCGTGTGTCCAGGGCTTTGCGCAGAGCGTGCATTCCTTCATCGTGGGGGATGTTAGTGTAGAGCGAGCTGACGTCAAGGGTACAGAGAAGCGCATCAGGGGGTAGCGGTGTGAAGCTACCGATGAAGGAGAGAAAATCTACTGGGTCCCTTATGTATGAGGGTATGTTGCGCACCAAGGTGTTAATGTGGTGGTCCACGAACGAGGAGATCATCTCTGTGGGGCTATTGTTTGAGGATAGGATTAGCCTGCCTGGGTTGCCTTGCTTGTGAACCTTGGGCAGGATGTAGAAGTTTGGCGTTCGGGTGTCCCTGGACGTAAGCACAGAGTATCCTTTATTGGTGATTTCTCCTGTGTGTATGCCTTTGAGGAGGAATTTGTCTATCTCTATTCTATGTCGGGGGTGAGGTCTATGGTTTGTGAAGAATAGTGGGTTGTATTGTTAAGCTGCCGCATGCATTCTGCGATGTAGTCTGCGCGATTCATGATTGCTATTCCTCCACCCTTGTCGCAGGGTTTGATGATGCATGATATCTTTGTTGTTGATAAGTGACTCCAGTGCTAGGCGCTGCTTGGTCGAAAAGTTGTGGAAACGGGGGGGGGGGCTCATGGGTGGGTGAAGGTAGCGCGTCCCTGAGAACAAGTTTGATAAAGGTCTCCAGTACTGGGTTTCTATTAGGTGCGGGCTTCCAAGTCGAGGCGGGTCTGAAAGACGAGGCTGAGCTGCTGGGCAATTGTTTTGAGTCGAAGAATTCTTTCAGTCTGAACCTAACGGGGGGACTCAGAGGAGGTCGCTGTGCGTTTAGTAACACAACACACCTTCTACGGGATCAATCCCTACCCCTATCAGTGATACACAACCAATCCATATACCCTAGTTTCTTACACATACACAGACGGGGCAACGCACAGACCACATAAATAGCACAAGCGGGGCCGGGACAGACACCAACCAGCATCCCAGCACAAGAAAAAGGTTCTGCACCCCCCTCCCACCCAAAACCCTCTTCGGGCGTGTAGAAACCAAACCCCCCCTTCCTCTCCCCACACGAGATTATGAATGGGTCTATGACATCATAAAAACACCAATACAAGTGGACTGCACGTATACAGACCATATCGACCCTGTATGAACTTCCACACATGTCACAAATACCATGACGCAAACGGCAGATGGCTTAGCCAATCAGGAGCAAGTACAGCTCACGTGATCAGATGCGCCCCCCCCCCCTGCTGCGCCCACCACAGTGAACGGTGCCCTCCTTTGGCGCCCCCTTGCGGACAGGGACCTAGGGTATATAAGGAGGAGAGAACACGCTGAAAAGCACAGTTTATTTCAGCTGTAAAAAGTTAGAAGAACGTGATGAAGACCACCACAAGTCGAAACTAGTCATGCATTGCCAACTTTGTGTAGCAATTTCACACCGTTTATGTACTTTTGATATCACGCGATATATGTGCAGCAAAAGGAGTATTGCCTAATGCACTAAGAGAACAAACCTTTCTTCTTTAAAGGACCTAACAGTTGCAGCATCGAAAAGTATGACCCAAGGACAAATAGTTGGACACAAGTGGACTCCATCAGTGGTCATCGGTTGCAGTTCGGTGTGGCTGTTGTGGAGGATAAACTGTTTGTTGTGGGTGGTCGGGATGGGCTAAAGACCTTGAACACAGTGGAGGCCTACAGCCTTAAGGAGAAGAAGTGGACAACTATGCCTACAATGTCTACACACAGACATGGCTTAGGTATTTATCATTTGGACTGGTTCTCCTAGTATGTGCTTCGCCTTTGCATAATACTTAATTTCATAACATAGATCAGTTATATTGTGATATACAAAATGTTCAACAAGAAATCTATGATTGATTATTAGCTAATACAGTATTAATAATGTTATTTATACCAAGAATACATGTAGTAAGAGTATATTAATCCACCATAATACCAGTTCTCTGCTTAATTTTCTCATATGCTACCCTATCAAATAATAGGCAGTTTTAATGTGTCTAGATGACTAGTCTAGAGATCTATGTGTGGTAACATTTATCTGTAACTACCCTTAAAGACTGGTATTAACAAGATATAATAGCTATTATTAATGCTATTGATCGATATATAATTGGCAATGATACCTTGGCTTAGACTCACCAGTTGTTTGTATATTTTCTATTCACATCCGAGGCAATAATCTGTACTAAGACATAATAGTAATGCCGAGTTCATGCATTGTTGCACATGTCAGATTCCATCGTTATTCTCTCCTATCGGCTCATCAGGTGTTGGTGTGCTGGAAGGTCCGCTATATGCCTGTGGTGGCCATGACGGCTGGAGCTACCTGAGCACAGTGGAGCGATGGGACGCGCATGCCAAGCAGTGGAGCTACGTCGCACCGATGCATTCACCTAGGAGTACACTCGGTGTGGCGGTCCTCAACGGCAGGTAATCTCACTCACTACCCCTGCCTCGCTGTGACTTCTATCTGCCAGCACATAAAAACATGGCTACTCACATGCACACAATCGTATGCTCAGCAGATGGTAGGTGTATTGGGTGGCAGGCCTACCGCTGACGTTCGCCAGTTTCGCAAAACGCGATAAATAAATAACAGTGGCGAATACAATTGGCAAATGATATAACTGCTCACAAAATTATGATTGAATAATGAAATCATCAAATTGCAGTGTCGTATTGTAAAATGTTTTCATACAGCTCTTTTCCCATGCCCTTCATCTATTTATGCCTTGCTTAGCACATACGATAAAGTGAACAGTGGCTATAGTTTTCCATAGGTGGCTAAAAAATAACTTTGGTGTTTTAAGTATTGGTTTAAACTTTAAAACATCCAAAGGGAGCCCTGGTGAGGTATAGTGCTGTACAAAATAATTAATAGATGTGTCCTGGATCACAGAACTTGGTAACACGTTTCACGGACGAAACTGGTTCATTGCATGTCCTTTAACTTAATTTTATTCAAAATCCACCAATCAGCGTACGTGCTCTTATAAGCAGGCACCGCTACTAGAGTAATGGCTCCACATTTTCCTGCATGAAAACGACTAGGAACCTACGTAATCAGTGCTGAGACGCTATCTATCGATTGAGATAAGTTATGAAATACGGCAACAGCAGTAAAATTTCAGTGACCTAACTTACACCCCCAAACGTCTGGTTACCTTGATTTTTAGGTTATATGCGATTGGAGGTAGGGATGGCAAGGCCTTTCTGAGATCGGTGGAGTGTTATGATCCCCACACCAATCGCTGGACGTTGTGCACGTCCATGTCAAAGCGCCGAGGAGGTGTGGGCGTAGCAGTGAGCAGCGGATTTCTCTATGCAGTTGGTGGTTACGACACACCCACCAGCAATGCAACATCAAATAGATTCGACTCTGTAGAGAGGTAATGGAGCAAGATAAATTATAAAGGTGGAGACATATAGACTTCTCTGTGTGGTGATTAGTTGGTGTAGCAGATGTGATGGTTACTATAACTTACTGAGGGAATATTGCCAATCCTATGTTTGTGCAGATGCGCATATCCTGTCACTAGTGGGCAGCACGTGTTTAATATTTGAGATATCACAGATGTTACCCATGTTTTACAACAGATATGATCCAAAGACAGATGTGTGGACAACAGTTGCGCGCATCAGCCCTCCTCGAGATTCGATTGGCGTTTGCTTAATGGGAGAGAAGTTGTTTGCTGTCGGTGGTTACGACGGACAAGCGTTTCTCAACACCGTTGAGTGTTATGACCCACAGAACAATGAGTGGGTGCAGGTAAGGGCGGGACAGTTGGAACATTCATAAAAATTAAGGCAAAAATTTATTTAAATAATAAAAATAATAGCCACATTTTCGGATGATGAAATTCTATGACGTGTGGGCAGTTTCTATGATTTGACTTTCGTACAATTAGCCGTGTTCGATGTAATTTTACAACTGTGTCAGGATTGTCGGTGTTTACTTCCCAGGTGGCACCACTGTGTATGGCCAGGGCAGGGGCATGCATCGTCCATGTTCTAAAAATTTGATAGGAGGCACTCTCTCAACAGGAGCAACATTTACACCTTGTGATAGATTTCATGGCTTCCTTGGAGTTTTCTGCCTCGCAGATGTGATATTCCAGTCAGTCGATTGCTTCCTGTGTTAGCAGATATGTAGCAAACAATCTTGTAAATCTGATGTGATTATGCATCAATGAAGTTTTACAAAATCATGTACAAATCTGGATAAATGTCCTCGCTTCTTTATAGCATAGACTATAGTCTCACTGCAATACGTGCATGCTTTTTACATGTGCATAGTGCATACGAGAAAGTGTCGATTATGAATCGTGATTGCCACTGGAACAAGTGGTATTGTTTTCCTACTTCGTAGGGGATTTGAGCTATGAGCTTTTCCTCAGGCCATAAACCAAGTCAGGCCATGTGAGGCCAGTACATCTGTAGTCACCTGTACAGGCCCGTAGCCAGCTTTATATTGGAGGGGGTTCGTTTTTCAATGTTGGCAATTTGCTCGGCAGGGGCGTGTACAGGATTTGTACCAGGGGGGGTCTAACCGTAACCCAAAGTTGCGAGCACGCGAAGGGGGGGTCTGGGGCCCTCCCCCAGAAAATTTTTAAAATTACACCCCCTCAGATGCGTTTTCTGCGCAAGCAAGGGACTCTCTGGACCCCCCCTGTACACGCCCCTGCTCGGGCGCGAAGCGACCAGGCGAGGGAGCCAAGCGACCGAGCGGGGGGAGGGTGTGGGAGTTGGGTGTTCACTGTTCACCCTCCCGCACGATGGAGATTTTGCAATTATTACACTAAAATGTTCAAATAATTTTTTTTTGGCTTGGGGGGGGGTTCGTTCGAACCCCCCCTGGCTACGGGCCTGACCTGTAGGTGTTATAGATAAATCCTGTAATGGTGGTATTTGTGACTGCTAACTTAGGCCTAGCGTGTCTTGAAACATTACCCGTGACAATGAATGCAAGGCAGAAAGGACAGATTTGTACACAAACATATCGTAACGTGTAAATATCTCACTGTTACTAATAGTCAAATCTACGAGTCAAACAACTGCAGGAGAGAGTAAGTGTTGCTGTTGGTATTATATATTATGAAAGATAATGCTATCAAGATTACAATGTTATTTTCTAGGCACTTTTTCTGTGTATTCATTTCCCTATTAACCAGGTAGTGCCTGTTTACTCTCATGAACTTCTATCAATGCATTCTATCAATTGCAAGAAAGAACACAAGTGTTGCATAGCTGTGTAATGCTGTTGTGCTCTGTGTCATGTTGAATCTCATAACGCCAGCTCAGCATTTAGGTATATTGTATGAAATGTCACTTGGGGGTGTTCACTTGTACATATGGTTCGTATTATAGTAGGCATTGTTCGTTTTTTCCTCCTGTAACGAGAATGTAGTGTATATATGAAATGTAGATTGCAACTGAATATGTCTGTAGATTCATGATTGATGTTTTCTTCTATATGCTGACAAGTGAATACAGTTACACTGAGAGTGTGTAGAGTGCATCCTGCATGTGTTCATAAGGTGATGTGTGACTTAACGTGTCACTCTTATTATAAGTGACTGGTATTGTAAGAAAACACCAGTAGAAATTCGGCATTGTACATTATTGTCATTTTAAACATTTATATAGAGAATAGAGTAAGGAATGGTAATCTCAAAGCAACTTCATACTAGTCACGTGATGACAATATGTCAACTGGCCAATCACTGGTTTCATCCATTATTAAGAACATGTCTTTTATACCGCAGCATCAAGATGTGCATAATGCTATATTTTTGTTTTAGTTTATTATTGGCAGGCAGTCGAAGACTGACCTTGCTGTCTGGCATTAAAAATAGTCAAGGCAGATTATATAGCTTCAGTTTCATTATTATGTTCCTTTGCTGCCTGATTTCAATTCATAATGTAATTCTTCTACAATAGAAAGTGTTCCTTAGCTCGTGACAGTTCTATTAACTCCTAGAAACGTTAAGATTGCTATTCTTGTTCAAAATCATGCTTTTGTCCCACTTGTTTACCTGTATGTATGCATACACTATTATATGTATGTATACACTATTACAGTAATGAGCCGCCCATTAACCTACATTAATCTATTAATCACCCGCCGATCCACCTGCGTTAATCTATTAACCACCCACCTACCCACCCATTCACATACCTTCATAGCTCTGCCTACATACATAGCGAAGATGAATCAGGTAGGTAGGTAGGTAGATAGATAGATAGGATATTTTGGAAAAGGTCCCCATTTAAATTGGTTACATTGAAATTAGGTTACTGAAAACAGTAATAATTTTAGAAGTGACCTTGTTAGTGTCACATTTCTTAGGAAAGAAGTATTCACACGCTCTCTCAATGTAAACACGGCATTATGAGCAGTGCTTTCTATATATATCACGTTGTATTTGGTTGTGGAAGTAGAAATTGCTGCTGATGATTGTTATCAGAGACGAGTCTATCGGCAGCGAGAAATGGTCTCGTTTTAGAGCGCAGATTTTTTGCGCAGCTTTTATAATACATTCCCGTGTAAAGTGAATCATGATTGCGAGGATATTTTGTGAAATAAATACGTCTCGAGTAAATTGCTAATATTTTTAAGTGCCGTTATATCTTCGTTTGAGTACGAGTGCATTCACCTTCGTAAACGAATTCATGAAGCCATCACACAAGATTTTTCATCATATGTGGCGAAATATTATTCCAGAAAATACCTGAGAGGCAAGACATATGTATATATATATGTATATATATGTCTCGCATATACTTATTATTTGTGTAGAATGTGGCTGCATTTGTCATTTTATATACAATAACAACACAAACTCATAGCAATTTTTATACTTGAGTAATCAGTAAACATGTTCGCTATTAGGTTAAACTATATCTCACTATATTTTTTTCGAGTGTGCAGTCATTTATGAAATAATTTTTAACATCTGGTCGTTGTATTGCATGACAAAATGACAAGCCGCCACTGCATCTAAAGACAGAGATTGGTAAAAACGATTTAATCGCAAAATTATATCTCTATATTATATATATATATTGCAGAGTTAGAAATTAAATGTTTTTACCAGGCAGCAACTACTTGCTGCCATAGAAAAGACATGCAGCAAACTGACACTAAAGTCTTGTGAGCAGCAAAAACTACTGCTTGATGCCTTAATTTCGAACCCCATATATGTATATATATATACAAAAATTTTCAATAATAGGTAAAAGGGTGTTTAAATTTTAATCCGTGATCTTTCGAGACGTACATATCGTCCTCAGACTTTCAGCTGACATTGGGATTTAACTGTAATTAAAACAAAAATACAATGCGCTGCAACGCAATGGCGTTAATTTTGACAGCTCCGGAAAATGGACAAGTATAATCGCGTTTATCAGAAATAGAAAGACAGTTGTAAACAAGAACCGCTGCCCGTCTTGTTACAGTCAAAATGTCTTGAATTAGTTTGCGGTCGGACAATGATCACGGTCTGCACATGGAACAAAAGAATGGTACATAGTATCAGTTACAATCGCTCTGCTAAGTTGAATACTCCGCGACATTCTGTTAGGCCCTACTGTCGCCTAAATGCCAACAACTAGCGTAGTTGAGAAGCAAAGCAGAAAAGAAAGATCCATCAAGAAGGATTGTGTCTCGATAGTGGTTTCACAATATCCCAATCTCGTGCTGTAAGGTTATGCTCATAGGGGTCTATTTTCCCCCAGGGTATGCGGACGGAACGTACGCCTGGGTACGGGTCCGGTTACACCGGAACGTACGCTCTTGGTAACGTAATCTGATATGGTTAGGTTAGGTTTAGGATGTAGGCGACTCCCTAGACCTCGTTAGTAGGCGAGGTACGGTCGCCGCATATTAGATTATGTACCAGGGTAGCCGTTCTCGGTATACTCGGAACCGTTCCGCAGGTACGTTCCGGCAGTACCCTGGGGGACCATAGACGCCTCTCAGCGTAAAGTAATAGCAATCGGGGAGGACTCGAATAGGAAACCATGTAGCCAAGCTAGTGACCAACTTCCTGTAGTGAACAGTGTTTTTAACCCCGACCCGGATAGTGAGACTGAGGATCTTGACACCTGTGTAACAAAGCACCCCCCCCCCTATACCTAGAGTATATACCCCATTCTCCTCTGGATCCAATGTGATAGCTGCAATGCGTGGTGGCATATTGATTGCCTGTGCATCGCCAAAGCAACAACAACTAGCCGACGTTTCTGTGCTTAAGATGTGTATGCAACAGCTCCCCCTGGATAAAAGATCATATTTTTGTCACCGGTAACACCCCTGCTAAGAAATTAGATAACACCAGTGACTAAACTAGGAATACACCAGCCTCAACCAAGGAAGTAAGTAGCTGTCACTCGCACTAACGCAGGTTGTAGTGTCAACACAACAAACGACAAGGTACAACGGTATCAGAGGGAGGAGAGCGCATAGGAGACCACATTGCTATTATACTATATTAATGGTGGTAGCACATTTAGAGTATCGACGACCTCAAACAGTACAAGTCATCAGTCGACATTAAAGAGGTCAAGAAGCATGAACATTTAAAACAAGCCAGAAACTGTTTTAGCTTACCCTGTGGGGGTGTAGCACTCCAATTTCAATCGGGAACAGGAGGCCAGCACCGGGTGTTGCTATCCCCCGGCGTGGAGGCGGTCACGTGATATACGTTGATGAATGACGTTCAAACGTTAACCACAACGGTAACGCTCAGCACTCCAACACCCGCCAAACACTAACCTCCAGACTAAATATATATGTGTCGACCGCGCTAAAATATATAGGCATATGTGATCCCACAAAATTAACTCTATTAGGTGTGGGGACAGATATCATGATGCAAAGACGCCTAAAGACCCTAACCTAATCCTAACCGCTAGAACCTAACCCTAATGCCTAACACTATGCTGCCAAACGTTGCGGTCACCTCCGCTCGCACGCCCGGGGGATAGCATTAACCGGCCAGCACAGCATTAGAAAAATGGCAGAACTTTGCATTTGGTACCAGAGCTCACCTTTATAGGCCAAAAGGACACACAAGTGTAAAAACAGGTTATATTAAGAATGTGGACACCAATATCCCCACAGCCACCATTGAATCGGTATTTAGCCAACACTGTGCAGTGAAATCTATTGAAAGACTGTACCATAAGGACCGTCACATACCTATGCCGGTAGTGAGATTATGCTTTCAGACAACTGAAGACTTAGATATAGCATTGTCTGTGCAGTTAGATTTTTCACTCAATGGAAAGTCTGCATCCCTGGAACCTCAGAGAGGGAGTCGTGTTATTCGCTGCTATAACTGCCACTGTTTTGGCCACGTGGCCAAAGCCTGCGTGTTTGAAAAACGATGCGAGTCCTGTGCAACCCAGTGTAGTGACAGCCATCACACATGTACTATACCAGAGAAGTGCCCAAACTGTGGTGGTAACCACAAAGCTTCAAACAACAAACAACAAGTGACCAATATTCTTGGAACTGCGGAACCGACTGCGGCTTCAATGTTTCATATAACAACACGAGCATGAAGTTACTTTCTCTGAACTGTTACTCCTGGAACACTGCGAAAAACTCGGTAAACTCTGTTGTGGATGATAATGATATCGATATCCTGTGCCAGTGTGCCTGTGCCGAAACTTGGGAGTCAAAGACCAAACAGGTTAAATTCAGAAATTGGCCAGCCATATGCAGACCAAGAACTGGAGAAGACAACCATGGAGGCGTCGCCATACTATACAAGCCAACAGACTACACATACTTCCAACATAGAGTAGACTTGAAGAGACAAGATACAGTCTCCATGCAGTGTGGTCTGTCCCTTTTACTTCTGTCTGTCTATATATACTACCGGACAAACATATAGAGCAGCTAGAGGGCTTGTTAGACATTATAGGTAAAGCTAACTACAAAAACACGATCATTGTGATATACCAGCAGTTGTTATTGCATTGTGCTGCCACCCGTGAGTCAGAAATGAGAATTAAACTAGATGGTAGAACTATCTAGCTGTTCGTAGTTGTGACTTGGCAATATATTACATTTGGCGACGAGAATAGGATCAGGTGGAACCTGTTGCTCATAAAATGGCATCCGGAGTATTGCAAGTTGGGTTCTTGGGAGTTTTACCCGAAAAATTAGTGTTGAGCAGTACTTTGAACGATTCGAAATCTACTGTATTGCAAATGGCGTCTCAGTCAGTGACAACGAGGAGCAAAGATGCTCAGACATTGTCAAGAAGAAAGCTGTGCTTCTCAGTGCTATCGGGATCAGTACATACCGATTGCTGAGCGATTTGCTAAGCCCAAGTAAACCTACTGACAAAGTCACTAGACGAACCTTTTCACGTGTTGAAAGGTCACTTCAACCCAGCACCATTGGAAATGGCAGCGACAATTCGGTTCTGGTCGATATTACAGAAACCGGGTGAGACCATAGCTGAGTACGCTAGAGCTTTGCGTCAAACCATGAAGACAGATGACGAAAGATGAAGAAAACACACAACGATGCAGTGCTTGCAATTTCATCACAAACAAATCCGTGATACAAGGGCCTCAACAAGTCACACGTAATTGAAGTTTAGAGAGATAGGTGGCGCTGCAACGCAATGGCGTTAATTTTGACAGCTCCGGAAAATGGACAAGTATAATCGCGTTTATCAGAAATAGAAAGACGGTTGTAAACAAGAACCCTGTCTCTTTGTTAAGTCCACTGTCTTGGAATTAGTTGCGGTCAACAATGATCACGGTCTGCACATGGAACAAAAGAATGGGTACATAGTATCAGTTACAATCCTCTAAGTTGAATACTCCGGACATTCGTTAGGCCCTACTGTCGCCTAAATGCTAACAACTAGGCGTAGTGAGAAGCAAAGAGAAAAGAAAGATTCCATCAGGAAGGATTGTGTTAGCGATAGTGGTTCAACTACCAATCTCGGTGCTGTAAGTAATGCTCATAGGGTCTATGTCCCCCAGGGTACTGCCGGAACGTACCCTGGGTACGGTCCGGTATACCGGA